TCTTATAAGAATGTTGTATTGCATGCTAGTAAGAAACTGAGAAATATCTCAAACCTATAGCATCAAAGAATGTCTTTTGATTATCTCTTTCCAGAGAAAAAACCCAGAGGCAATGAAGATCAATGATACAATCCCAACGCTGATCCAACGCCAATATGAATGATCATGAAGTTTATGATGAACTAAGTCAATTTCGAGATCAAAGTCAAAACTCTAAAGCATGATCATGAAATCGTTAGCAGTTTCTTGGATTCGTTGACGGCTTGATAAGCTATTGAGACTTCAATGGTGTAGCAACTATAGTTTTTTTCTAATCTAATAATTTGGTAAAGATGCGTTAAGAAGATAAGAAATGACACAGTTAAAAATATGACTCTAATGAAATTATAAAATAGACATGTTTTTATATTTAGTCACAACATGTTTAATAGGTCCAAATAAAAAACATGTCAAGGTAGAATTCAAATAGGACCTAAATTAATAGATTAAACTAGATCGTGATCCGCACAACCGTGCGAATTTTTTTATTTATAGTTTATAAAAAAGTTATCAATAAATTATAATATATTTATTTATAAAATCTCGCAAAATACTAAAGTAATAGATGTTAAAGTATCATTTTTAAACACAACATGAAAATGTAAATTAGAATTAACAAATATTTATCTATAGTATATCAATCTAAATAAATGTTAAAATATATTGTACTAGTATTTAGATCCATGCATAGCTGTAATGTTTAATATTACTCCAATCTAAATTCTATCTGAACCAGAAAATTATGTATATCATCAATTTTTAATTGTAATATTATTAACTCTGAACAAATAGCGTAAGATTCTACAAACAAAACTGTGGAAATAATGAGTTTTGGTATAATTACTTATGTTCCAATTACACAACTTGCATCAGAACACAAAAAGAAAATTCAACACTTTTCTTAAGATATATCAAATCCATAAAGCATATGATTTTTAGTAACTTAAATAATGACAAACAATCGTATATAAAGAAAAAAAACAAAAATATGTATTTTCTTAGTTTTTATATGATTGATTTTCTTACCAAAAAAACTCATGGTTTGACAATGGATTATTACAACAATACGACATTTGCACACTTCTATTTCTGATGGAATAAAAATAAAACATAACAAAATACTCATACTCTATTTTAATACCTGTTTGTACATATTATTGAACTTGTTAGGCTCGTCATCCACCGTTTGATAAACTTCAACTCAACACCACAGACAACCATTTTAATTTCCTTCTCCTTCTGACAACATTGACCCCTTCCATGGAAAAATGAAAATTAAATAAAGTAAATATACAAAGCGATTCATACAAAAAAAATGCTAAATGCTTGATATGGACTTAAGGATCCAAGAAAGAAATTAACCGTAAAAAACCTGTTTCACAAAAACAATGGCTAGATTATGGTACCGGTTGCTGCCACAGTATTGATCATAATCCCCATTGGTTTTATCTGTGAATTTCGATAGTATTAATTGATATATAAATATATACACAATTCAATATAATAGTTGTAAACAATACTTACACTGGAATGCTCCGATTAACCTAAATGTTGAAGAGATTAACACATCTATCAAACAAACCCAAAATATTATACATTTTGGTGGTTTCTTTGAATAGTAGAACAGAGTAGTGGAACAGAAATCATTATTGGTGGTTGAGAAAATTAAAGTTATGGTTACTTAAGTAGTTTCCAAAAATCGTACAGATAGTGGAGAGTTGAAGTAACTATGGAGATAGTGGGAACCAAAAACAGCTACAGACATTTTATTTTACAAAACTTTTGTCGCAAAAAAATTATCAAAATCTTGTTTTAAATTTTTCAAAAGGACACATGTCACTCTTAAAATTGTCAATTGACTTCTGCTTTATAGTATAAAAGATGCAAATTGCAGAAATTAAAACTCTATATTAGAGAAGATTATATATTTGTTTATTTCAGACTATAATTTATTTATCAAACTAAAAATATATTAATAAGTAAAAACAATCAATAAGAATATAAACTAAAATATTCAAAACAAATTACTATATATAACTAATGACGAATAAGAAACTTAAACAACAAAATTATAGAGTTATATAATATATAACATTAAATTTAAATCATATATTTAAATTTTTATAATACTATCAAAGTTTTATATTTATAAAATGAAAAATCTGTGTGGATCAAACTCTAGTATATAGTTTTTATTTAGGTTTTAGGAATATATAATGCTATCTAGATAAATTTTAATTTCTTAAATAAAAAAATTTGTATTTAAAATAAAAGATAAAAATATGGGATAGTATTATATTTGTATTATGTAAAATTTGATAAGTGTTTTAATGAATGGTGCAAATAAAAAATTTATACATGACAAAACTCATTTCGTTTTAATAGTATAGATAGATAAATATATAATATATTATTTTTTATATTTGAAATAGAATTTCAGTATTTTTCTTACATATTCTATTAAATTTGGTAAATAACTATTTTCAAACTCCATTAATTAATATTATTATTCTCATTAAAATATAATTAGAAATATTTTAGATAATTTTAAATTTTAAATTATAAATAAAATAATAATTTTAATGATATTATATGATAATTAAAATTTAAATTCAATGATTTACAGAAATATAATTTAAAAAGATGCCAAAAAGATTTTGTTGGATTTGTTTCATTTGTATTTCAAATAGAAAGATAAAAAATACTTAAAGATATTATCATTAGATTATGTAACATTTGATAATCTTACTAATCTTTCTAAAGAATAGTTCATTTTTAAAAAAGCACACATGAATCAAGATTATGACTTATGTTTTAATATATATATAAGATATTTTCTAGATTAAAGAGAAAATTATGGAAAAATTATCAGTTATTTAGAGCATGATTAGGCTAGATTTAACACAAACGAAATAATGAAGGTTGAGTAATGTAGATTAATTTAATCAGATAGGTAATATTCATTTAAAATTATTTTTATTTGATATATTCAAGCTAAAACTTGAAAATATATATTTTTTTTTTAAAACTTGAGAAATCTAAAAATATGACAAATCTGACTGGATAGTATTTTGTATTAAATCCATTTCATATATACTAATATTTGCGAAGTGATTTTTCGCTTATCGCATCTCACACTAAAAGTTAGAGTTGTTAAAATAAATAATAAATGTAATTAATTGTTAATATAATTTATTATATAATCAAAATATAATTTTATATTCATAATATTAGATTTATATGTTATATTAGAAAATTCATTATAAATTAACATAATAAAATTGTTAAAAATAAAAATATTTTAAAATAGATAATTTTATATATATTGTGTTGTTATCCGCAAATAGTATTTTTTTTTTAAAAGTTAAAAAACAAGATAAAATCATTTATAATTAAATATTATTAAAAATAATGATATTTTTCTTTAAAAAAAAATATTTCTAATATGTGAATTTTAACACAATAATAAGCATATATGCTTTTATCAAAAACTTTTTCATATATAAATAATTTGAATTAAAAATTTCGAGAACACAAATAATAACTTATCATACTATTTTTAGAATTAATAAGACATAAACTAATAAATATTCATAAGAACATTATGCACATATGTGTGTACAAAACACTAGTGGTCGTTGCTCAAAAAAACACCTAGTGGTCTTTTTTTTTTTTAGCAATACCTAGTGGTCTATAATAAACAAATCTCCAAGACATTATTTAAAAAAGTATTTGACACATGTCATCGCCACAATCATTTTCACTAGAAAAATGACATTCATGCTATAATTGATAACATGAATAACGTATAAATATGACATGTCAATTACATTTAATGTAAATTTATAATTTTGATAAAAAATTTAGATTATATAAATAATTAATATATCATCATTAAAATAAATTTATTTAAATATGAAATTAAATAATATAATACTACAAATCTAATTTTGTAACAAATTTCAAAATGTTATTTAATTTTAATTTTATAATCATATATTTTTCATTACTAAAGAAGATTTTCAAAATGTTAGAGATTTTTTTAAAACAATTATGAAATCTTTAATCGTGACATCATTTGTTTTCTTTTGATATTTACAAATATTTAAAAAAATTTGTTAAGTTTGATTATATTTAAATATTTAATTCTTAATACAATTTGATTAATATATTTTGACCAAAAACTAATTGAAAATCTATTTAAGATTATAATTTGAAAGATATACAAATCAAAATTTATATTTGAACTTAATTTATGTTTAACTAAATTAAAATTTGAATTAAAATATTAGCATGAAATATTAAAACTTAGTACATTAACAAAATTCTGTTTTAAATATAATTTAAATTTAAAAATTAAATATAATTTTAATTTAAAAATTAAATATAATTTATTTTAAAATTTAATTGTAATTTTAATTTAAAATTTAAATATAATTTTAGTTTAAAATTTTAATTACTGCACATGGTGCAGGAAAAACACCTAGTAACATATATATATAGCTGATTTTGTTTTTAATAACAAATATATAAGTAAATGATGTTAATCATGGTTCACTCTCTTAATGGTTAACAAATTTGCCAAAAAGTAGGAAAAATTTAGTACTTTTGATTTGTATCATAATCATCAGAATATATTTTTACATTAACTTACCATGTAAGTCAAGATAGATGTGTAATGGAAGAAACAAATTTACACTTCATAGAAGTCTATATGTGCATGGCTAGATCCTGTATGTGAAATATAACTGAAAATAACAAAGGCATAATAGGAAATCTGGATTATGTAGATTTATTCATTTAATTATTTAAATTAAACAATAGATGACAGATATTTTACTTCAATTTTTGTCACTATAAGTAATCCTCTCCCTGTAGCCATAGTTTTATCCTCTCCAAGTCATCACCACTAATTATTTTCAAGCTTGAATAACTTTTTATCATCTTAACCAAAAACGAAGATGAAGCTCGTGGTTGTACAATTCTCCATAATCTTTTTCCTCCTCACATCGTCATTGTTCGTACTGTCAACCGCAGATTCGTGTAAGTGTACTTGATTTAGTTAATTAAATTGTTTTATTAGGTAACGTATCATTTGGTGATCTACGTAAGTTTACAATGATAACACAAGATTGTTATGTGTGATGATGAATGAATTTGCAGCATGTGGTGGAAAGTGCAACGTGAGATGCTCAAAAGCATCACAACATGACGAGTGCATCAAATATTGCAATATATGTTGCCAGAAGTGTAATGGTTGTGTGCCCTCTGGAACTTATGGAAACAAAGACGAATGCCCTTGCTACAGAGATATGAAAAACTCCAAAGGCGGACCCAAGTGTCCATGAACTTGTCTTTGAAGATCATCATAATATACCTGATATATATGTGAAAAACTTTCAATTACAACTATGTATGAAAAAAAAATTGTGACCTTAAGTGATAAATGTATGAAAAGAGTGTACATAAACTGAAATACTGTCTTTAAATACAAGGGGTGATGTTCTATTTACATACATGATTATGTTGATTATAAAAGCTAGGATCGCTCACAAGAGCTATGATAGCTTAGAGGAGAAAATTTTGCTCCAAAGAGCCACAAAAGGCTAGAGAAGAGACATAATGTTTCTGTCATCTCTAGGGCTGGGCAAAAAAACCGAACCCAAAAATCCGAACCGAACCCGACCCGATAAAAAGGAATCCGAACCGATCCGAACCCGACATAAGTACCGAATGGATCTTGTTTTACGGTATTTCGGGTTATGGGTATTACCCGAACCGAACCCGAACTTAAATGGATATCCGAAAGAACCCTAAACTTAAAAATTCCAAACAAACTTGTATCATATCCACTCTAAATTTCTAATATGTTTTCCAAAACAGATTAATATATTATTGAGTACCTACAATAATTAGTTAGGATATAAATAATTAACTCAAATATTTAGTCTAATATATAGTGTTATTTAGTTAATATTTATGTTTATGATTGACATTACATTTGAAGTTAAGTTACGAATAAATTTGTTTTGAACTTTATATAATATTGTTTTTTTAAGTTTAAATAGTACTTCTTACATTTATAGAATTGTTGTTAACTTTAAATTTTTATGTTTCATTATGTATAATATTTCGTTCATACAAGGTTTTAGTTTGTCATTAATCATGATATGTTTAGTATTGTCACATATAGTTCAATGACAAATCTTATATGGTTGATAGACGTTTCACAATATTATTTTGAAGGAGAACAATATGGTTTGTAGAAGCTAAATACACAAATTTAATAAAATGATTGAAAATATAGTGAGTTTAATTGAGTATAAATTAGTTTTTAGAACCGATAACCCGATTAGTATCCGAAACCGAAATTATTTCGGGTTCAACTGGATCTTGGACATGTTACTAAACCCGAACCGAACCCGACTAAACCCGAACCGAATCCGACCCGAATTTTATAATATCCGAATGGGGTTGAAATTCATGAACCCGAAAACCCGAAACCCGAATGAATCCGAACCGAAACCCGATTGGGACCCCGATTGTCCGGCCCTAGTCATCTCCTACAAATATCGCCATAATAGAACCATATCTAACCTTTATTGCACTCCACCTTAAGGCAGTTTCTGTCATCTCCTACAAATACTTGCCTCTAAACGGGGCTTTTAAATATCAAGAACAAATCAAGTCAAGGTTTACTTTTCTCAGCTTTGTTTTCATCCGAGCCCAACAACATTTGGTGATGTTGAATGGTCAACGTTGCGCACAGTCTCGTCGATCTGATTCTTGCTTTTGTATTCTTCTCGAATCCAGCCCTTTTTTTCATTGGCCACAAGTCTACCATTCATACTAAAGAAAAGGATGTATATCATGAACACTAAACACACATGTGCGTATCAATCTTAAATATCATTAGTCAAACCCAATTGTCAACATCTTTGACGAATACTAAATGATGTCATTAAACAATATATTTGACGCATGTTATAGGATGTCATTATACAAACAATTAGAACTGTTGTCTCGTTGTATGCCTTCATTGGTAGGAATAAGATAAACTTATTGTTCTCGTCGTTACATATATGTCTTCAAAAGTTTATTTTCTATAGCGTCTAAAGACAGCACAAAGAGAAACCAAAACTAGAACAAGAGAATGATCCAACAACCTAATATTCATAACGAGAAGGGTAAAATCAGGGAGGGAAGCCAGATAATACATAAAGAGACTCAAACCAGTAACAAACCCACCTGCAAATTCTGATAATCCAAAAACTCAAAGCAGATAGAGAGAGAGATATAGAAGGAGATGCTATTGCTTCTACAACTAGAGAATGGATCTTTTTGAGTAACTCTGCTTTCTTTCAGTGGCTGAGAACACGATCAAGCTTCAACGTTCACAAGCTCATACTCTATGAGGGAAAGATTGTTATCTTCTTTGACGTTGATGTCTGTGGGCTCCTCAGCGACTTCAATGCGTCCCCATCTATCAACTGCAAGCCTCATAGATCCCTTGTACATGTCTATCTTAGCGTTGCGTAGGGTCACTATCTTGCCTTCTTTCATCAAATCCACTGATACAAAAAAAGAATCACAACATCAATCAGATATCTCTAAATCACCTGACCAAAACCTACAATCTGTGTGTTTCACTCTCTAACTCTAAACTTGCAACAAGAATAATAGCAATCCACTTTTCTGCTATTATCTAACCTAAGTGCCATGCTAACTGGGAACATCTTATATGTATTTTGTATATTCTGACCTTGATCGTTTCTGGCAGTAAAGATGATGATTCCTGTCTCATCACCAACAAGACATTCAGCAATACGCATCTGACGAGACTGAGGACCAGTGGGACGACCTCCTCCACCTCCACCTCTCAGCATCACCATCTTGGTGCTGACAACTTTCACGTTAAGTGAGTGACCATTGGTTCCTGGTCTCAGCTCATTAACCTTGGTGAACACAGGCTTCCTCAAAGCTGGTGTTGCCTCAGCCATTCTTTACAAAAAAAAAAAAAAACAAACACACTTTGCTCAGATCAGAACCAAGATCAAATTCAATTCTAAAACATCTCGAACCTTATAATCAAAAACAGCTTAACAAACAAGACGAATTACAGTGATAAAAAGATGAAGACTTTAGTCTCATAGATCATTTCTTCAATCACAACACATCCACAAATAGGAAAAAAAAAATTGGATTCATAAAACAACAAAGTCAAAGCTAATCGCACAAAAAAAATGTAATCTTTTGTCCGCAGACATTCATTAAATCTCTAATTCGAGCAGTTTAAACTCACGATAAGAAGATCGAAAGGAGATAAAAGGATAGGGTTTATGAACTCAGCTTACGTTATTTTTTTTGGTATTGAGAGAGAAGAGACGACTTAGTAGGCGATCAGATCTGTTGATGATGATGATAAAATAAACACACACACAAAGACGCGGCGTGTTTTGTCTAAATATTCAGATATTAATATACCTAACCGTGGATAAGTGACCTGAACACGTGTCGCTTTCTTCTTAAAAAATATCCGGGCCTTGTAGTTTCTAGAAACTTGAGATTTGGCCTTAAGCTTTTAAATAGTTACAAATTAGACCCATCCGAACCGGGTTTTTAACCTTCAAAACTGGTTTATTTTGGATATGCGGTGGTATGTTTGATCATCTTCCACTCACTGAGAGGGAACTAATCAATAATCATCCATTAGAGCCGATGCTTCTCTCTGCTTTTTAGTTCCATGGTAACGCTATCGTCTCCATCTCCCTCCCTCTCTTTCGTAGAGAGCGGGACATGTAGTAAATCGCCTCACGTTTCTCGGGTTCTGTTCTCTGGTCCTGATGAAATTCAAGTAGAATCGTCTCAACTCAAGACACTTAGAGATGTTCATATAGTAAGAGTTTCTCTTCTTCTTCTTTCCTTTCCCAAAAAGGAATGATTTTTATTTGGTTTTATGGGAATTGATTACATATTTAGAATTGGGTTTGTGTTGTTGTGTTTTTTTTAGTCAGAAAGGTTGATGGAGGAGTTCACTGAGCTTGCGAGAGAGAACACTGAGAAAGACCTCGAGACTTGTGGAACTCTTGCTGCCTTTCTTGTAAGATTACTTTACTTTTCGAGATATATCAGAATTGAAGTTAATTTTAAAAAAAAAGAGTATCTTGGAAGTCACTAACTTCATTGGTCTAATCTAATCACTTTTCTATATCTGTTTTATGTTTGAAGGAAAGAGGAGTTTTTTATGTGACCACACTGATAATACCTAAGCAAGAATCAACTGCTAACTCTGTGAGTATCTTTCTCCATCATTTCGTGGTGTTTAACTTTGTAATGGTTGTTGCTTAACTTTAGTACTTAAAAAATGGGCAGTGTCAAGCTATGAATGAAGTGGATGTGTTTTCTATACAAAATGAAAGAGAGCTTTATCCCGTTGGATGGATTCATGTAATCTCTTCTCCCTCCTCAATGTTTTGATTTAATTTGTCTTGGCTTTGCTATAAATAATGTATGTGTGCTTTACAGACTCATCCTTCTCAGGGCTGTTTCATGTCATCAGTAGATCTGCATACCCATTACTCCTATCAGGTTTGACATTCTTTTTGGTTAAGCTTTATGAGTTTGTATCCCCTGTGTTGCATATACATACACGGTTTGAGACAATTCAGTTCTCAGTTTGTATCATGTCCTTTTTAAGGTAATGGTGCCAGAGGCTTTTGCAATCGTTGTAGCTCCAACAGATAGCTCTAGGTATGTGTTTCCAAAGGCATCTTAACTCATTACCGTGTTGGAGCCAATTAAAATCAGTCTTACCTATGTCCTTGATGGACTCTTTCTCATACAGGAGTTACGGGATATTTAAGCTAACGGACCCTGGAGGAATGGAGGTACTGAGAGGATGCTCAGAGACAGGATTCCACCCACACAAAGAACCAGAAGATGGAAACCCGGTTTATGAGCATTGCTCAAACGTCTACAAGAACTCCAACCTTAGGTTCGAGATTTTTGATCTTCGCTGAGAGGTAAACGACCCTTCCGTGGTGGCCTTGTCAGTGAGAAAAATGGATCAAGCTTGATCCACTGTGAGCTAAATAATACAGTATCAAATAAATAACCAAACCCTAACCGGAAACTGTATATGTAATCTAAAAAAGTCTTTGTCTTATTGAGGTTATGCATCTTGTATTAAGCTAACCAAATGTTAATAATTTTTAATTAAGTGAATAATCTGCTTCCTTGTCCTTACTAATAGTATAATTGAGTGTATCTTTACTCCTTTATTGACCATATAATGATGAAAAAAACCTGAAGAATCAAAAGATCGGAGCTTTTTTGAAGTATTAAAGCTCTCAAGCTCGTAAGTTAAAAAACAAAACAAAAAAGGTTGAACCTTTCTCAATTGTTAAGTGTAGCTATCATCAAAAACCCATATACAAGTCCTTTTCTTTCTTTTTGTTTTTTGATTCAGAGAAGAAAACCTCCTTTATGGCCGTTTTTGAGAGCACATGATAAGTATCTCTCCGTACAGTCAGAGTAAGAGTACAGACCCTCTCTCTCTCTCCTTCTACGTCATGGATTATTAGTACAGACGACGATTCAACTCATCTTCTGGGGTTTTTATTTAATTCAAAAAGCGAAGTTGGTTACTTAATAATACTATTGTCCTGTACGAATCGTATATTCGCGTTATGATTTGGTTTTGACAGAGAGTACCTCATGTGTTTATATGCCCAAACATCTCTCCTCTCTCCTTGTACTAGTTTATAAGTAAGTAAGAACAAAAGAGATCACAAAAGTTTCAGTCTTTTTGTTTGGCTTTTCTTTTCTTTGCAGAAGAGTGAGTTAGAGAGAGAGAGAAAGATGATGAGAGGTGGTGAGAGAGTTAAGGAGTTTCTTCGACCTTTCGTCGATTCTAGAGAGTGGGACTTTTGCGTTATCTGGAAACTCGGCGATGATCCTTCCAAGTACTCACTCTCTCATTCTGGGCTTTCTTTGTTTGTGTGAATCTGTTTACATGTTTTTGTTTCAGTAGCAAACTTCTGTTTTCATGCATACTAATGGGTCTTTGATGTTTAATCTCTGTTTCTGTTCTGTTTCCAAGTTTTCTCTGATTTTGAGTCTGTCTTGAGATTCTATCGTTGATTTGTGTTTTCAGATTTTACAATAACTGTTAAAGTTTTTATTACTTGTGTTTTGTCTTAAACTCTACATCTATCTCATGGATTGATATTACATGTCTGCTAGCTCTCTTGTTTTCTAAATCCGCAGTAATTGTTCCTAACTCCATTTCTAATCTGCAGGTTTATTGAATGGGTAGGATGCTGTTGCAGTGGTAGTTATATTGATAAGAACATTAAGCATGAACATGAGGAAGAAGAGGGACAAAATATGAGCTCTTTTTGCAGAGATGAAGACAACAAGCATCATATAAGAACCTTAGCTTGTGAAGCTCTTTCTCGTTTTCCTCTCTTCATGCCTCTCTATCCCGGGTATTTGTTATCTTTCATCTATATACAAACCGCGAGACTTTTCTTATTAAGCTTTAAAAATGATATGAAGCTTCTTCAAGTTTACAGGATCCATGGAGAAGTAGTCATGTCAAATACTCCCAAATGGTTGGTTAATTCTGGTCCAGGATCTAAACAGGTTAAAGACTCTCTTTTTTTTACTTGTGTATATCATTTGATCATAAGAACACTCTGATTACGATATTCTTTTTAGCAGGATATGTTCAGCACAAGGGTTCTTGTTCCTGTGCGTGATGGTCTAGTTGAGCTTTTCTCCTTCATAATGGTAAAAAAAAATTAATAAATGTTAGCATTTAGCATAAAGGTTCGGTCACATTGTTTAGTGGTCACTTCATAAATGGTTTTGTTTCAGAAACCGGTTGATGAAAGCATGGTTGATTTGATCATATCGAATTGTAACACCTTCTTTGAACCCTTCCCTGAGCAAACACTGCCCTTTAAGATCATTCATAGAGCTGAGGAATCTATTAGCTGCGGTTTGGTTATGCACAAGGAAGAGGATATTTTGATGCAAAACACCATTGTTGAAGTACAAGATAACAAGAAGATGGTAAAGGAAAACTTCAAATCGAAGAATCTTTATTCAGAGAGGAAAAGAAGAGAGAGACTTAATCAGAATATCTATGCTTTAAGAGCCCTAGTCCCCAACGTCACAAAGGTTCTTCTTCCTGAAACTCATTTTGGTTTCTCGATATATTAACTCTTTCTTGTTATCACTTAAGGATTATAGCCATTTTCTTTATGCTATTTATTCAGATGAACAAAAACGGAACTCTTAGTGATGCTGTTGATTACATCAAGAAACTGCTAGTAGAGAAGCAGAAACTTGAAGATGAGGTGAGTGGATTCAACGAGATAGAATGCAGAAGGATCGCTGAAGAATCTGCATTATCTAATCCACAAGCTGAACAATTTTCCTCTAGACTCAACAAGAGAGTTAACAACGAGGTGAATCTTGAAGTTCATGAGACTGGTGAGCGAGGTTTCTTGATCCGGGTTGCGCAGGAGCATAAACGAGATGGATTCAAAAGGTTGATAGAAGCTGTAGACTCTTGTGGACTTGAGATTATAGACGTCAACTTCACCAGACTCAATCTCAGAGTCATGACCATTCTCAATGTCAAGGTAACTTAGTTACACATCTCATTCCCCTACTTAGGTCACATAATGCTGTTAATTAACGTCTGTTTAAAATTTGCATTTTTATAGGCGAGCAAAGACGGAACTACACCTGAAAATCTGAGAGATTTGCTGCTCAAGATGATAAGAATAACTTAAGAAAACCAAAATGCAGAGTCATTAAGACAATGTGCATAACCAAACAAAAAAGGTCAAAATGTTTTGTATGCTTGAACCACAAGTTACATCTGATATCTGATTCTCACAAGCTTTTTAAAAATTTTATAAATGGTCAAATGTTTTGTTTTGCTAAACAAAAGATCAAATTTTGTGTGCTTGAGCCGCAAGTTACAGCTGAGATTACATGTTTGAAACTATACACTCAGATCTTGGCGTTGGATTTTGAGTTTTTTAAATTAGACCTTCACAAAATTTCCAATGAGTCCGTCCATCCCAAAAAAAAAGACAAGTTTCCGGCTAAAGTGTGATTCAGTACTGGTTAGTTTGGTGTCTTGTGGTGAAGGCTCGGCTCTCAAGTTCACGGCTCGTAAGGTCTTGGCTTGTGTAGTAGCCGTTGCTAGTACCGAGATCCGATGAATCCTCAGAGGCTCTTCTGAACATACGAATCTCATTACTGTATTGACCAGAGTCGTAGACCGTACTTTGACCTACTTTGACTCCGTTTGACAGATCCGACAAGTTGTCTCTTGTGTCCAGAGCTCTTACAACCTGTATTTGTAAAACGTGAGCATCACTTTTCTTTATAACCAAAGTTATTTATTATGTCTAGTCACACGAGTAAATTGTAATCAGTGCCTGACCTGAACCATACGAGGTCGTTTTAGTGCTGAATGCCTAACACAAGAAGCTGCCGTTTCGATCATTCTATAGACTTCTTCTTCGAAGTAATGCTTTTCCAGCCGTGGATCCACTATTTCGCTGATGTCACCTTTTTCAATGGCCTCGATTAGCCGCGGACGTGCCTGCCAAGCCAACCCAACCAAACCAAACCAAACCCCTCATATTTCGTTATTTCCATTTTTAAAATATAAATTTGTTTAATTCAAAACATGGAAAATACCCATTCAACGAGACTTTCTTCACCCAAAGGTTGAGAGGTGTCAACAGGTTTGCGACCGGTGATGAGTTCGAGTAGCACAACTCCAAATGAAAACACATCTGATCTATCCGTTAATTTCCCGCTTGATGCATATTCTGGCGCTAAGTACCTGCATGCATGCAATGTAACGTCTTACATTACACAAATTATACAAAAAAAAAATTGTTATGAATTAATTGACCCAAAAAAAAAACTGTACCCAAATGTGCCCATGACACGTGTCGATATGTGGGACTGTGCAGTATCGTTCAGTCTGGCGAGTCCAAAATCTGCAACCTGTACAGAACTAATCAAATGTTTGGTCGAAAATCATAATGATATAGACGAACACTGCATTGTTTTCAAAAACAACAAAATAAAAATAAATGAGATGTTGACATTGCCTGAGCTTCGAATTCATCATCCAACAAAATATTTGACGATTTGATGTCTCTATGGATAATCTTCGGGTGACCTATCAAATCATTACAAAGCTAAATCAGCGTCAACATTTAAATCCAAATCACTGTTTCATTAGTTATATATAGTTTTCTACCCAAAAACATATATATATATATATATATATATATAGCATTTTCACTAAGATAAAAATAATATAATGGAGAGTATCTCACAATCTTCATGTAGATAAGCAAGTCCTTTGGCTGCGCCTATTGCAATCTTGACTCTTCTACTCCATTCCAAAACCGGTAAGTCTTTGCCTGACAACATCATTAGAAAAAGTGGTATTTAGGAAGACAAATTCAATTGTCAACACAAATCTGATCTTAATTCAATAATGTATAAAGCCAAACAAAGAGTCTGTGGGAAAAGTACCATGTAAATGGTAATCCAAAGTATTGTTGGGGACAAACTCATATATAAGGAATCTATGTTGCTCACAGATGCAATAACCCACAAGAGACACCAAGTGCCTATGATGCACTCTGCTTATGATCTCCACTTCAGCTTTGAACTCTCTATATCCTTCTGCACTGATTGACTTTAGCTGTTTGATAGCGATTGGCTTTCCCTCGCTAAGGATACCCTTGTAGACGCACCCGAACCCACCTTCTCCTATGACAAATCTCTTGCTAAATCCTTCTGTTATCTCGCTTAGCTCCTCAAAGGTGAAAGGGATCTTTGAAGTCCCTAATACTGCTGAGTCAGGGGTTGTTCTGCCTGGTCTTTGATTCCCTAAACTGTTGTTTGTATCCGGTGATGAGTTCTGCCCTGAGGCGGTCCCGTTTCCGGGTTTATGTCCGTAGTGAATGAATCCCTCTGCGCCAAAAACAAGGTTATAGGATCAAGAACAAAGTCACAATGAAAAACACAAACCAACCATTCAAGAATTAAATAAAAACAAGAAACCAAGAAACCAAGAATCAAGAACATGGAATTAAGGATCAAGAAGAAGGTTAGGAGGCAGAGAAAGATCAAAACAGAAAATCAAGAATCTAAAACATAAAAGAAGACAAGAATCAAGAACTACACCAACAGTAAATATATACATAAAATATATATATTTTTACCTGTATTAACAGAGACATTAGCCGGTGGCAAATACTGCTGGTTAGACCTAGGGGAAGAAGATTTTTTTTGTTTCCTCCTAAAGAAGAAGATGACAGCAATGATTATAATGACCAATACACCTGCGATCCCTACACCGATCATTGTCTTCTCGGTGAAGTTAGGTTCATTGTTTTGTTGTCCATTACCACCATTTCCATTACTATTTGCATTATGTGAGCCTCCGGAGTTGTTATCGGAGCCAGAGAGGGAAGGAGGAGACGGGACAGAAGAGGACGAGGGCACATAATTTGATCCTCCTGTTTGAGGTGAGTCCAAAGGTTGTGAAGGGTTTCTTGGGAGATTAGGGTTTTGCGAGATAACCGGAGGAAATGGAGATGAAAATGAAGAAGAACCTTCAGGAGAAGGCGGCGATAAAGGGTTTAAAGGCGGAGAGGGGAGAGAAATAGGGTTGTTGGGTAGTTCTTGGCCTATATCATTAGGTCTGGCCTCTGGTTGCTGAGTAGTTGGAGGAGGAAGTTGAGGCTTTGGAGAAGGAATCACCACGGGAGAATCTCCGGCCGGGGTGGATTGTTGAGGTGGAGGTTGAGGCTGAGGAGGTGAAGGAGGTGGAGTTATAGAAGGTGGAGGTGACGAAGGAGGCTTTGGAGGTGGAGTTGTAACAGGAGGTTGATTTGATGGTGGTGGAGAAACAGTTACCGATGGAGGAGATGATTGTGAGCCGCCGCCGCCGCCACTGTCCGGGGATGGAGGAGAAGGAGGTGATGTCGCTGGAGGCTGGGAACCGCTGATGATTTTCTGATCAGTGAATCCTGCGAGGTTTGGTTGATGTGAGGTTACAAACGGAGATATCTTCTTTCCGATGAAATCTGCTTGTTCCTGGACTTTGTCCATCTGTTTTTATTCACCTTTGCTTCTTCTCTTTCTTGTTTTCTCTTTTACATGTTTGAATTTGCTCTAAAGGAGGTTCCGTGGAGCACAAGAAAGGATCTATTGTCTTTGAGATCCAACTTAAATCGGCTTAAATTCCGCAGAAATTAATTATAATCACCAGAGAAGTTTTGAGACAAGGTTCTTATGGGATTCACCAAGATTTTTGGAAATTAACGAAGAGGATGGAAACAAAAATTTAGGCTTATAGGGTTTCTTGTGACCCAAGGATGATTGGAAGAGAGTTTTTATTAACTCGATTCAGATTTTGTTAGTTGGTGAATTTTTTTTTTCCTTCTGCCGTGTTTTTCCTCTGGTGTAAAAATAGAAAGTCTTTCCAAATCTCAACAAATTGAATTCTAAAAATTACTGAGAAAACAGGCTAAAAATTCACTTGATTGTTTTTTACAGTAAATAATTGTAAGAAATAAAAGTACCAATATCTGGAAGATTCACCCTTCAGCTTTATTGTCGGATTGCCGCGTAAATTCTTCTCTTAAGCATTATTTTTAGCTCTTTCCGTGAATCTTTTTAAGATGAAGTTTATAAAATATAGTTACAAGATTGATCTGAAAATGATCAACGTTTATTAACTGGACGGTGAAACTTCCATGCATATAAACTTCAGACTAGTTGAGTACTATAGATTTGAACTTCAAAATTAGTATAATAGTATTAATGATCATTACAAAAGCAGAGACCATAAGGCAATTATTTTATAGTAAAATCTCTATAAATTAATATTGTTAAGACTTTAAAAATTTATTAATTTATAAAACTATTAATTGATAAAAAAATTCTTTATTTAATTTTTATTTTAAGATATATTTATTTTCTAACATAAAAATGTTTGATTTTAGTGTATAGACATCAATTATTATTTTTTGAAATTTAACATTTATTATATTGATTTTATTAAATTATTTAGTGTATATTAATATATTACATATAATTTAAATGTGGTTTTAGATATAATATTACAAAATCTCATCAAAAATATTTTAAGTGTTAAGAAAATGTAAAGATAATTCTATTGTGAATATAAAACAAATAATATGATAGTAAGTTCTTACTTATATAAAATATATATACAAATAAATTCTGAATTTATAATTTTAATGAGACCATATATTTACATAGAATTTTCTAAAAAATATTATCTTATCTTTTATCGATTTGTGTCATTTTGAACCGGTCCAAGTTAGGATGACGAATTAATAGAGATTATTAATTAATAGAGATTATTAATTTGTCACGTATTACTTTATAGATGTTCAACTGTATGTTTAAATACCAAAACCACAAGATGATCGTTTATGATCTCTGCTTTTGTAATGATCATTAATACTATTATACTAATTTTGTTTTCTATTCGTGATGTGTAAATCTCTGATATTCAAGCTAGTCCCAAGACATCTTGTGCAGAATATTTATGCAACTCTGCCTGATCACAATATGGATTATCATCACATGGTTCTGATCAATATAGTATTAAAGTGAGACATTTAAGTGGCAGTACAAGTATAGAAAATGACATCAATTTTAACTAAACTGTAGTACTAGTAGTAGTAGAATAGGCTTTTTGGCTAAACAAAGATATACATTGATCTACATGTTTCACATTCTTATACTTGCAAAATCCATCAACATACATCATGATCAGACTGTACTCTGTTTCTCGCAGGCTTCCCAATCTGTAAACAATCAATAGGAGGAAGAGTAGGAGTGTTGAGCTCACCAAACGTCTGCCAGCAAAAAGCATCAGACATATGATACTTTTCTTGAACCGGCTTAAGCTCAATTGCTGATAACTGCACATCCACGCAAGGGAAGTTATCACTGCACGCGAAATGAACCGGTTTCACGGTATAAGTGCCTTTGATCCTCTCGTAAGTCACTCCTTCTACTGCTACTGCTGATGTCTGGTTCTTACATTTGCTATGGTCACAGTAGAATTGGTCTATCACTATTGGAAGCTGAACCTCATTGAGTTGAATGTTTGAGAAGAGTATCCCTTTGACTGATCCTACTCCTCCTTGCCATGTCTTGATCCGGACGCCTGTCATCGTGTTGTGCATCGCCACATCTCTCACTGTTATGTTCGAGACACAGGCTTTTGTGCTGTCTTTACCGAGACTGCCAATGCTGATCCCGTGACCAGGTCCACAGTTCACGTTGTGTACGAATACATTTGAGCAACCTGTTTGGATGGAGATACAATCATCTCCTGCACACACACATAGAGAGGAGAGACACCATTAGTATAATATTCATATTATTCAAGATTTAAGAATTTAAGATTCAAGAATTCAAGAATTCAAGAATTCATGATTCAAGAATTCAAGACTCAAGAATTCAAGACTCAAGAATTCATGATTCAAGAATTCAAGATTCATACCACAAGCGAGTGTTGTGCTGTGAATGAGGACATCTTTGGTGTTCTGGAGGTGAATCCCATCGGTGTTTGGACTGTCGCCAGGTGAAGAAACGGAGAAGTCATGTACCTCAACGTCGATGCAGTTATCGAATTTGAGGTGACATTGAGGACTGTTTTGGATCGTTATACCAGACACTTCCACGCCAATACTCCCATAGAATCGCAGTGCCTTTTTAAACAAGAAACAGAAGTCAGTAAACAAACCAATGCTAACAGTTTCACAATGCCAAACTCTTTTGTTTGTTTATTTCTCACCGTTGGTTTGATGCTTGGCATTTTCCAATCAAGCTCACTTCTTATCTGTCAAATGTGAAACAAAAAGGGTTTGATACTTTGATCTTGAATGAATATTCTTGAATTGACACACTGCTGAAGAAGAAGATGAACATACCGGCATTGGAGGCTCTTGGTGAACAGAATTGTTCAAGGGAACAATGAGTTTGGTCTCACCATCAATGAAAGGGTAATCTTGTTGCCACCAACCAGAGCCTCTTCCATCAATCACACCTTTCCCTTGTACTTTAATTCCTTTCAGCTTTGTGAATTCAATCCACCACAATAACCCTTTTCCCCATGATTTTGAATCCGTTGGAGCTATTATCGTACCATCAAGCTGCAACCACAGTAAAAAGATTAGATGTTTTAACCAAAAAGTTACTACAACTGTTGTATTCAAAAGATAAACTCTCACCTGGAACACAATGTTAGCTTGACAATAAGGACCAGAGAATGAGATTGGACCAACAAGAAAAGTGTATTCAGGTGGTACAGTCATCATGGACGCCTCTACTTTGCAAGCCGCTGCCCAAGCCGCTTCAAACGCCTGCAAACGTTATGAAACGCTGTTAATTAACTACCCTAATCACCATAGTAATAATGGTTTATTGTGGCTTGTGATGTGTGGTCCCATTTTGTAATCTGTTATTTCTGTTGTCACTTACTTTATATTCGTTTGTCTTTTTCTTTTGGCGCAATTTCACATTTTTGATAGGAAAAAAAAATATTGAGAAGTTTTAAAGTGACTTTACAGACAGAGAAACTTTTTTTCTTACCTCTGTCTCGTGTTCTGTCTCAGTGATCTCTCAACTGTAATTTGTTCTTTTTAAAAATTCTCATGAAAACGAAATATAAAATACTCTAATTAAATCAAATACATTAACACAAGGATTGGAAACTGTACGGATCACGAAATTAATGAGCTTTTTACTAAATTTAATTTATTTATTTTTACCTTAGTGTCATCACATTTGCCATCACCCTTTGCTCCAAAATCCATAACATTGAAGACCTGAGATCCCTTTTGCGGCGGAAGAGACGGTGGTTGGACTTGTGGTGGTGGTGAAACCACCGGAGAGTTATTGTCGTCAGCTTTTGGTGGAGTTTTCTGCTTCGGTTTAGGTTTAGACTTGTTGTGATGATTGTTGTTGTGAGAACTGTGGTGACTGTTCCCATGGCTTTTAGGTTTCTTGCTTGACAAGGAATCAGACAAGTGAGAAGAGCTTCGGTGGTTATGTCTCCAGTGTCTTCCTCTTCTAGCAATGCAGGTCTCTAGGGTTACAGACCAGACCAAAACCGCCATTAACATCATCATCGTGATGCTCCTCAGCCTTAGACCTTTTCTCATTACCATGTTTTTGGTTGGTTTGTTTCTCTGTCTAGACGAGAGTGTTTTGTGGTGGGTGGGTGAGAGTACGAGACTTAAAAGAAAGGGAACGTTTTTGAGGGGATTTAAATAGGGAAGCAATCCAAGAATGTAGAGACTAGAGAGACTCACGGGTTTTCAAAATGGAATTTTTATATTTTAAGCTATTAAACCAAATTAATCAATAGTGTCCTTTATTTCCTATATTGTGAGTGACAAACTTAGTTTTTAAAATTACTAAATAAACGAACAAGCCTAAGCTTACTATGTATAATTTATCTATATGTGATAATAAGACCACAAAGTTCGATTTTAATTGGATTTTTGTAAAATAATGATGATATTGACAGTGATGTAAAGTTATTACTCGTGAATTTTTGGGAATATGCTGCCAAAAGTACAATTGAAATCTAGATAGTTATTCACCGTGGTAAGAAGTTCTAAATTGCCAAAACTTGAATTGCATGTGGGGTAAATACTGGCCAGTGACTATATGTACGCCACGCGGAGATAATTGGTTGGTCAAAAGCTCATCTAATTTGGTTGCGAACATGGATGGCTAAGACTTTACATAATCACATATATACAAGCACATGTCTGTAGACAACATAAAGTATGGATACTTAAAATGTGGTGTCTATTCAGTTTTAGGATCTCGCTTATTGTTTTTTGATATATAGATTTTGGTCGATACAAACACTGAAGCAAGTGTCTATATGTAACGTCGGCATGTTTTGGATCTGTCGTATTGGCACGATAATATTGTCATATGATTTTCACATATAATGTGGTGTCCGAATTCGAGAGGCCATGTAGAAAATAACTATTAAAAACAATAAATAGGAATGTGATTTGTGATATATATTTCTCAATCATTATCAAGAA